GCAGATACAATGCCCATCACTCCTAAGTACTATAGTGTGTATTTTCCCGCACATGGACAGTCTCCTGTATAACCACCAAATCAGGAAATCAGCACTGATACAGCACTACCTTCAAATTTCAGGATCCCATTCCAATTTTCCCAACTGTTCCAACCATGTCTCTCTTTCCGTTTTGGTCCATGATCCAATTCAGTATCACACATTGCATTTAATTGTCAGTCTCCTTAGGCCCTTTCAGTTTAAGGAGTTCTTCAGTGTTTCCCTGTCTCTTATGACCTGGACAGTTTTTCAGAGTCCAGGCCTTCTGTCCTGTGAGACGTCCCTCACCCTAAGTGCATCCAGTGGTTACTCACGCGCAGACCGAGGGCAGTGTTGGCAGGAACACCACAGAAATGATGTGCTGTTCTCAGGGCGTCTCTCCAGGAGGCACACAGCATTGTCTCACCACTGAGAACGTTTAACCTTGAACACCTCGCTAAGCTCATGCCTGCTGGGTTTCTCCCTCGTAAAGTCTCCACTTTTCCTCTTGTGATTGAGAACTCTTCTGTGCGAAGATGTCCAAGACTGACAGTATTCTGTTCCTCATTTACCTTCTGCCCACCACCAGCCTTAGGATCCATGGGTGACTCCTGCCTGAATCATCCACTACTTGGAAGTTTGCCATCTACACTTATTAGCTGGCGTTCTACTGAAAGAAGATCCTTCTTCCCGTACATGTATTTATTCATTCATTTATTTATATCAGTATGGACTCATGGTTTTCTACGCCTATTCTGTGGGCTGTATCAGCTACTGTCTTTTTATTTCATTTTTATTTTGATGCACACGTTGTCCCAGATTTAGTCAGTGGGAACCCCTTTGGGATGGCTCTTGTGTCTTTTTGACATGTCCTCATTTTTTGAGCATTCTTTGCTTTCTGGCACAACAAGATATTCCAGGTTCATCTTGTACTTTTCCTGTCCCAGCCCTGGAGTCATCCTTTTCTCCAAGGAGCCCTCATTTCTTTTAGTGGAGATGGTATTTAGAAACCAACATCTGGGTACTTAATATGCTCATTGCTCTTGGAGTATCATCACTTCTAGGCAGACGGAGCTAGGAAATACATGTATTTATGCACACATCTGAATCTGTTCGTGCATATAACTATATTTTTAAAGTCCACGTGGTTACAACTAATTCCAGTCTAAAATGTCAGGGTTCTTTCTGGCCTCCCCCTTGGTATGTTTGTGAGTCCTGTGTCCAACAGTGAGAAGTTGACTCCTGTCACCCTCATTATGTTTACTTATTTGCTCAGTCCCCTTGTAGGTGTCCATCTCCCACCTCCAGGCTGGCTGCTTCCCTGCCTGCCACCTCTGAGGCCTGGACCCCATGCTAGGGCATGCTGTCATGTCCATGCCAGGAAGGGAAGGAACTTTCTCATGTAATCTTTTTTTTTTCCTTCTTCATTTAATCTGAACAAAAACCTCTGAAAGATGTTATCCCCAGTTTTAAAGGAGAACAAACTGAAGTTCAGAAAGGTGTGCGACATTGGACTCCTTACCATATAAATTCAGATTTGCCTGATACTGAGGCATCTTTTTTTCTCCTATGTTGCATAGCCACAGGCTAGCTGTATAAAAATAGTTTGGAATTCAAAGTGGCAGGATTTAGGGTTGTATAAGTGGTAGTTGGAGCAATGGGTGTGACTGTGACTGCTTGTGAAGTGTGTGTGTAGTTAGGAAGAGGGTCACCGACAAAGCCCCAACCACTGTCATTTAACAGTTAAGGGCTTTCCCTACTGGACTGAGAGAGACTGGAGCAGCTCCTGAGACTGTCGCCCTAAGATGCCCTTTGAACTTGGCACAGAAGCTACTCCTGGAGGTCAACTTTCAGCCAAATAATAGATTGGCTTGTAAAATAAACAGTATCACCCGTGAGGAATGTGCTCCCTTAAACAATCAACTGTATGAGACCCAATGGTCAATATTTACCCTAAACAAAGAGGAGACGGCAAGGAGGGGCAGGGAAGCTAGATCAGTGGAAACAGAACAAACAGAATGGAAATAATGAGAGTGCTGACACATTGTGGAAAATGTAACCCATGTTATGGAACAATTTGTATACAGATTGTTAAATGAGAACCTAATTTGCTTTGTAAACTGTCACCTAAAACATAATAAAATATTTTAAAAAAAGGTTAAGGGTTCTCAGTCACTGAATTGTACATGTAGAAACTGTTGAATGGGTATGTTCTGCTGTGTATAGTCTCAACAACAGAAATACAATCTATTACTAAAAAGAAAAAAAAAAAAAAAGCTTAAGGGCTCTGAGAAGTGAAGGAGCCAGTCTAGAAGACTGAAGGGTGACGAGAGAGAAGAGTCTAGTTGTGTGGTGGAAGGTGATGAAGCAGAGAATTTCAGAAACGTATCCCGTGCTGCTGAGAGGAAGAGACCAAAAGTGCTTTGAGTTTGACTGTCGGAAGATTATTGATGACTTTAGCCAGTTGGTTTTCAGGGGTGTTCAGGCAGGCCAGCTCTATCAGAATCACCTGAGATACTGATGAAAACTTTCAGACCTTACTGAATCAGAATCTTAATAGGGTGAGTGGGGAGAGGGAAGATGCTAGCATAGGAAATCCGCTTAGATGCTGCGAAGGTTATTCTGATAGATGATAAGGTTTGAGTTTCATTGCTTTCGGAGAAGAGTTGCAGTAGAGGGCTGTGATTAGAAACGGAAGTGAGGAAGGTAGACATACGATGAATATACTCTAGACAACAGCTTAAGAGATCTGTCCATAAAGGGAAGGAGGAAGTTCTCTCGGGTCATAGTGAAATCGAGAACAGTCAAGAAATGGATTTTTTTTTTTTTAATGGTCACATACACCTTAATGTTTTTGGGGAATAAGGGAAAGACGCTATAGTGGTTATTTGAAAGATGGGCAAGTGAAACTATGTAGCAACGCCGGTGATCAAAGAAATGCCCTGAATGAACTTTGGTAGGTATCTGGGATATTCCTGCCCCCATTTCAAATGATTTCCATTTTATGGTGAGTCTTTGCAGTATAATCCAGGAGTTATTGTTAATCTTATTAGTTAAATTTATGTCTTGCCTTTTTGTTAAACAATTGTGTTACTTAAGGACCTCTCTCTTCCTCCTTTTTTTTTTTTTAATTTTTATTTTTGGTGAAAATACACACAGCAAAACCCACTCCCATTTCAGTTGCTAGACATAATGACTGATTAAATTCTTTACATTGTGTCAGCATCAACTCATTACTTCTCCACTAGTTGTTTCACTCCTGTTAATCTCCCTGCCCCCTAACCTTCTCATTTATGCTTTAAAATAGCTGTTGACCTTTTGGAATATATATATATATGTGTGTGTGTGTGTGTATATTTAAAGTAATACAGTACATAAGGACGACAGTCTTCATGCTCTTTGGGCTGAACAATTAGTTTAAAAGGTGACTTCAGGGGATAGTTTCAACTCAAGATTTGAAGAGCAGCGCAAGGCCATAGTCTTGGGGACTCCTCCAGACTCAGTAGGTCCAGTACATCTGGATTCTTTAAAAATTTGAAGTTCTGTTCCACGTTTTTCCCCTTTCTTATCAGCGTTTCTCTGTTATGTTCCTGATCATAACATTCAGTAGTGGTAGCTGGGCACCATCTAGTTCTGGTCTCGAGGTAGAGGTGGCATGCTTCATGTAGACAGTTCATCCAGTAGTCCAGTTCCTTTTCTGATTCTTGGGTTTCCTTCTTTCTCTTTTGTTCCAGATGAATAAAAACCATTAGTTGTCTCTTAGATGGCCACTTGTAAGCTTTTATGACCCCAAACACTACTCATCACAAGAGTGATATGATGTATAGTATCATATCATCTCTGAATAGGGATAGTTTTACTTCTTGCTTTCCAGTTTGGATGCTTTTTCTTTCTTTTTCTTGCCTTATTGCTCTAGAACTTCCAGCACAGTGTTAAATAGGTGGGGTGCTAAAGGGCGTCCTTATCTTGTTCGCATTCTCGGGTGGCATGCTTTCAGCCTCTCTCCATTGAGAATGATACTGGCTGTTGGTTTTGTATAGATGACCTTTATTATGTTCAGGAACTTCCCTTCTATTCCTATTTTATCGAGAGTTTTTTATCAGCAATGCCTTTTCTGCACTGATTGAGCTGAGCATGTGAATCTTTTCATTCGTTCTGTGTATGTGATGGATTACGCTCCACAGCCCTATCACCGGCTGAACTTCAGTGTGGCAGTTGTCCAAAACTTCTGAAATTATTTGGGATTATTTACAGTTTTCTTGATGTTAATTGTTAAAAGTTTGTCAAGCCGTGCCTGGACTTTTGCAGTAGTTTCCTTCAAGTGCGTTCTGCCATTCCTCTTGCCCTTTATCCTCCTCCACACTGTAGCCAGAGTGATCTGACGTTCACATGTCATCACCTTATACTCCTGCTGGGAGGAAGATAAAATCGAAACTCAAGATCAGCACCTATCTGCCTCTCCAAGCCTGATACTCTCTGGTGATTATTACAGCACAGCACCTTGCATGAAGTAGGTGCTAATTAATGTTGACTGAACTTAGAGTAAGGAGCCCTGGTGGTGCAGCAGTGAAGTGCTCGGCTGCTCACCAGTAGGTGGGCAGTTTGAATGCACCAGCGCTCCGCAGGAGAAAAGACCTGGCAGCCTGCTCCTGTAAAGATTTCAGCCTAGGAAACCCTATGGGGACGTCTCCTCGGTCCTGTAGGGTCACTATGAGTTGGAATCGACTCAGTGGCACACAACAACAACAAACTTTGAGTGAATAAAATGAATGAATTTTCCAAGGGGATTAAAATTATTTGAGGAAATAATCAGTTTTTAAAGTAATGATTTTTTTTTTTTTTGGTCCTTTTTTTATGTGTTTCTTTAGTATGGGAGTACATTATCCTTATCACCAACTTTAAGAATTTCCAAATTTGTCTTATTTTCATTATAATAAAAAAATCTCTATACTTGAATTATTGACATTTCCAATCTGTCTTACCATTTCCACCCCAAGACATACTGCTGTCAGTCACCGTGACTTACTACAGAAGCTGTTGGGGAATCTTCGTTGGGAAGAGTTTTGTGATCTGAAAAAGCTCGCTCAGGTGATTGTGATATTGTTAGTCACCTTGCATCTAAGTATTTTTATGGTTTTTGGTCTTTGTTAGCATATTGTTTCCAAGAAGAATTGTACAGGTCATCAGTTCCTGGGATGCAATTCTGAAATCTCTAAAGCCCTGGAAAACAAGTTTGAGCAACCAGTTTGGCAGCAAAACTTGATGTGAGCTGATGTGAAGCCGTTCAGTCTTCATTTATTCCACTTATAATGAACATTCTTAAGGTCTTCTAAAGAAACTTTGAATAGCAATGTAGTTGAATAAAAGGTGCCACCCTAGACCGAAGCAAGAATTTCACTTAATAAAGGTATCAGTGCCATATTACCTCTCTATAATTTAAATATTTTAAAATTCAAAAACACTTCTGGCCAAAAAGGTTTCAGAGAAGGTATTGTAGACCTCAGCCAATTTTCATTACCAGCAACTTCCCTAGCAGTGGTACTTCATTTTAGCTTTACTTTCTTTTGGGTGATAATATAGTTGACCTTTTTTTTTTTTTCATATTTATTTACTAATTTCATTTCTTCTTGCATACATTCTTCAAATTCTTTGTTCATTTATCTGCTAGTGTTTTAATTTTTTTTCTTACTGATTTATAATGTCTGTAGATATTAACTGGTTTTCTGTTAGCATAGCATGCTTGAGACACAGTCTGTGGTTTTTGTATCTAGTATATCAGAAAATGCTTCAGATTGAAAGCTCATCCAGTTACAATGTGAGGGAGGTGACCTTACTCCTTTGCTCACAATCCTTTAATGGCTTCCTGTCTTACTTAGAATAAAAGCTGAAGTTTTGAACATGGCCAGTAAGGCCCTGCGTGATCTCCATGATTACGAACTCTGCTCTCTCTCTGACCTCATCTCTCATCACTCTTTCTGTTGCACCTTCTGAAGGCCCATCAGTCTCTGTGCTGCTCCTGGAACAGGCCAGACGTGTTCCCACTTCCAGTTTCTGCACTTGCTCTCCCCTCTGTCTGAAACACCTTTCTCCCAAGGATTTAGGCAGACGGAGTGTCCACAGTGGCTTACTCCCTCACTTCCTGTCAAGTCTTTGCTCAAAATGAATGTCTCAGTCACATTTTTCCTGAATGCCCTGATCACAATTGCATCCCTATTCCCACATGCCCTGGTCTCCTTCCTTGCGTACAGCCTACGTACAGCAAAACGTGTGAGAGCTGGAACTCAACAGGACTGCCTTGTTTTTCCAAGTCTCACAGATTTTTGGCCTTTGACACAGTGCAGTCTCAACCACTTTTCTGTCGCTTGTTTCAATGGAAAATATTTGAATTTTCCTTCTCTGACAGGTTTCTGCCTTACACAGGTTCCAGCTTTTGTAGGTTTTACTGTAATATACTGTAGAATTTTTCTTCTTTCTTCATTAGAATGGAAGCTCCATGATGGCAGGGACTTTTATCTTGTTTTGTTTGCTGATTTATTTGTTGCTTTTCTCTGTTTAGCACATTATGAGGTGCTAGGGAAGAACTTTTTAAAAGTCAGTACTCTGTTGATTCACACAACGGTTAAGCTCTTGGCTACTAACTAGAAGGTTAGCGGTTCGAACCCACCAAGAAACTCCATGGAAGAAAGACCTGGCGATCTGCTCCCGTAAAGGTTACTGTCTAGAGAACATTATGGGGCAGTTCTCCTCTATCACACGGGGTTGCTATGAGTTGAAATCAACTCAACAGCATTCCACCCTTTGCCCCCCGCAAATTCTTGTCCTTGGCACATGTGAAACACATTTACCCCATGTTATGGATTGAATTGTGTCCCCCAAAAATGTGTGTCAAGTTAGCTAGGCCATAATTCCAGTATTGTGAGATTTTGTCATCTGATGTGATTTTCCTATGCATTGTAAATCCTACCTCTATGATGTTAATGAGGCAAGATTAGAGGCAGTTATATTAATGAGGCAGGACTCAGTCTACAAGATTGGTTTGTGTCTTAAGCCAATCTCTTTTGAGATATAAAAGAGAGAAGCGAGCAGAAAAACAGGGGGCCTCATATCACCAAGAAAGGAGCACCAGGAGCATAGCGCATCCTTTGGACCCAGGGTCCCTGCGCTGAGAAGCTCCTTGATCAGGGAAAGATTGATGACAAGGACCTTCCCCCAGAACCAACAGAGAGAGAAAGCCTTCCACTGGAGCCGGTGCCCTGAATTCGGACTTCCAGCCTCCTAGACTGTGAGAGAATAAATCTCTCTTTGTTAAAGCCATCCACTTGTGGTATTTCTGTTATAGCAGCACTAGATAACTAAGACACCCCATCGTCTATCCCAAAAGTCTTAAATCAACTCCAGGTCCAAAGTCACATCTTCTACAAAATTCCTCTTCATCTGTGAAATCTAGACTACAAGTTATCTGCTTTTAAAGCACAATGATAGAACCGTCACAATCTAGACATTTCCATTACAAATGGGAGAAATTGAAGGGAAAGGGGATAACAGGCACCAAACAAGTCAGCAGAACACATTACATTAGTTCTCAAGGCTTGAAGATAGTCTTTTGTTCTCTGAGACCATTTAGGCAATGGCCCTGCCTTCCAAATTCTGGGCCATACTCTCTGGATTCTGGGTGGAGGCCCCTCAGCCCTGGGCTCCAGCTCTGCCTTCCAGGCCCTCTGGCACAGCAGCTCTGCTGCCTCGCATTTGGGCAGCTCCCTTCTCCTAGTTTGTCTGAATGACCCTACCCCCTCGGCCCCGGCAGGACCCGTTCTTCTGCCCCTCGGCATGGCTGCCCCACCCCCTCAGCTTTGGGCAGCAGATCTGGACCCGTCCAGCTGGCACTTGTGAAAGGCGGCTCCACACTTTGGAACTGAGCTGGTGAAGATCTTATGCTTTGAAACCTAGGAGGCTGTGGTTCCACCTTTTGAGACCCAGCTGACCATGGTTCTACCATTTGAGACCCCAGAGTTTGTGGCCCTATCTATTGAGAGTGAAACAACTTTGCTTCCTGTGTTCCTTGTCTGTTCAGCTTCTGCTTCCTGGTTCCTTGGCCTCTTGGCCCCTTGGGCCCTTGGGCCTGCCAGTGTCTGCCCTGCTCGGGCAAGTGTTCAAAGCTCTGTAGCTCCACTGATAAGTGCCTGCAGGCACCCTACTCTGCCAGTAAACCTTGGCCAGAAGGCGCTCAGCTCTCTTGCTCCGTGGGTTGGCAAGCCTAGTTCTACTGATAAGTGCCCAAAGGCATTCAGCTCTCTTGCTCCATGGGTTAGCTCCCGTGCAGTCTCATGATAGCCTCATGGTTCTGCTGCCTCCATTTCTCTGCTGCTGTTTCATCTACGCTGTCTCTAGTGTTACAGCTCTCCTCACTTCCTTCTGAATCCTCACCAGAATTGTCTTCAATGTGCATAATTCCACCAACAGTCTCTTCATGGCAGTCTAGGCTTTTATTGTTAGGCACTTTAAAACTCTTCCAGCCTGTACCATTCACAGTTTCAAATCCATTTCCACCTTTAAGGTATCTGTTAGAGCAGTACCCCACTCTCCTGGTACCAAATTCTATCTTAGTCACCTAGGGCTGCTATAACAGAAATACCACAAGTGGATAGCTTTAACAAGCAGATTCATTCTCTCACAGTTTAGGAGGCTAGAAATTTGAGTTCAGGGTGCCAGCTCCAAGGGAAGGCCTTCTCAGTCTGTTGGCTCTTGGGGAAGGTCCTGGTCATCAGTGTTCCCCTGGGTCTAGAAGCTTTGCAGCACAAGGACCCCGGATCCAAAGGATGTGCTCCATTCCCGGCGCTTCTTTCTTGGCGGTATGAGGTCCCTCTCCTCTATGCTCAATTCTCTCTTTTATAGCTCAAAAGAGATTGACTCAAGATATACCCTAATCCCGTAGATTGAGTCCTGCCTCATTAACATAACTACCTCTAATCCTGCCTCATGAACATCATAGAGGTTAGGATTTACAACACATAGGGTAATCACATCAGATGACAAAATGGTGGACAGTCACACAATACTGGGAATCATGGCCTAGCCAAATTGACAAATATTTTGGGGGGACACAATCCATAACACAGGTGTACAGTTTATTGACAGCAATTACAGTAATCGACTGTGGAACTCTACCCTTAATCAATGTGATGTTTCCATCACTGTTAACTCCCCTTTCCTTCTTTCTCTCATCCCTAGTAACCACTGATAATTTTTTTTGTCTGTATATTTGTCTTTTCTTGTCTTTATATAAATAAGGTCATACAGTGTGTCCTTTTGTGGTTGACTTATTTCACTCAACATAATGTCTTCCAGCTCCATCCATACTGTAGCATGTATCAAGTTTTCTTTTCTCCTACTGGCTGAGTAGTGTTGTATTGTATGTATGTACCACATTTTGTTAATCCATATCTATTGATGGGCATTTAGGTAGTCCATAGGGTTTTCAATGGCTGTGACCTTTCAGAAGATTGCCAGCCTCTCTTCTGAGGCACCTCTTGGGTGGACTCCAGCTGCCAACTTTTTGTCTCATGCCCAACCACTTACCCATTTGTTCCATGCAGGGACTTCAAAAAAATAAAAAAGGAAAAGCCTCAGATAAATAAATTCCACGCAAGAAATGTATAAGTTAGATTCCCATGTTTAATATACAGTTAACGATGAATATAAAATCTGTTTTGACACTTGTGACTCAGCATTCTTCACAGGTTGATAATAGTTGAGTAGAGGACATACAACATACATTTGGAAAATGCTGCCTGCACATCAGTGAATCAGTATCTCGGGATTGATTTTCCACATGATTACCTTGAATTACTTTTTCATTGTAGTATACCATTTCTTGCACGTGGTGGCACACTGTTTAAGCACTTGGCTGCTTATGGAAAGGTTGGTGATTTGAACCCACCAGAACCCACCAGCTGCTCCGTGGAAGAAAAACCTGAACAATCTGCTCTGTAAAAATTACAGTCTAGGAAACTCTATGGGGCAGTTCTGTTCTGCCATGTAGGGTCGCTGTGAGTCAGAATTGACTCAACAGCACACAACAATGACAACAA